TATATATATATATATATATATATATATATATATATATATATATATTAATATTTATGTTTTTTGTAAGTGTGGAAGCATTTATTAAATTCAATTTTTCAGAAATGTACAACAATTTGGTCGTTAACAAAGTTACGTATATTTTTATTTCTATATACATAAAAAAAATATATATATGTGGCGGATCAATATAGATCCACACATACACGGCGCGGCGCCGCTAGCCGAGCCGCCGCCGCAACCGCGAGAGCCTCCGCGCGACGCCGTTCGGCGGCGCACTCGCAGGGGGGTTTTCTCGTGAGAAAATTACAATTTAGAGACAATAAAAGTCAGACCCCGCGGGAGGTCGGACACACTCCGCTACACCGGTCTCTCTGAGCGCTTTTTAATCACACCTTGAGAGTTCGGTCAACAGCACCTTTAGGCGCTATCCGTCCACTGCAGAAGCGGGTCTCCGCACTGTACAAGTGCATACGCCCTGAAGAAGCGCCTTCGCGTTGGAGAAGCGCGTCTGCTGCAGAAGCGGTTCCTCGCGCTGGAGAAGCGCGTCCGCTGCAGAAGCGGTTCTTCGCGCTGAAGAAGCGCGTCCGCTGTAGAAGCGGTTTCTCGCGATGAAGAAGTGCGTCCGCTGCAGAAGCGGCGGCGGGTCGACCGACGCCGAAGAGGCGTCGCGGCAAATCACCACGCCGAAGAAGGTACAGGCGGCCAGCTCCACGACGCGGGCACCAGCCCCCACGCCGTCGGTAAGTAAAGGCCTTAGTAGACATCTACGCCAACTTTTCGGGGAAGACTCCTCCAATGTCCGCAAACCTAGTGTAAGGACGCCAGCGGCACGGTCACCACGGCTATGAACGCCTTCACCTACAAGGGCTGGAACTCCTTCCCCGCTTTCGTGGGAACTTCTTCCAGCACCTGCGACCACCACCGCCGCCTACCCGAGGTGGGAACTACGGCGGGTCTGGCTCCCTCAACGGCCACTGACTCGCCCGACAGCGGCTCCGCTAACTAGCGGTGACGTTAGGATCCAACGACCCGAATCACCTCGCCACAAAAACAAGGAAAATCGGATGACGGACTTAGTCTGTACCCGGCCGGAGCATCCACGGAGAAAGACGCACCACTCCCCTAGAAGGAGGCTCAACGCGGCGGCCCGGCGAACGATAAGACGACTGGCACAAATACGCAAACACCCACATACATACACAAGTACGCATGTAAGCCCTCCACAATAAAAATGTTTATATAAAACATATAACCACGTGAGTGTCATATCACCCTCCCCGCGAGAGAAAGATCACATCTGCTAAAATAAGAAACACGCGCCAAATATATATATATATATATATATATATATATATATATATATATGCGTGTAATAAAATTATATAAAATTTTTATATTTTCAGTTAATCCACCGTACTTAGAAATTTATAACTTGGACCATATTACAAAATTAGAGGGACGGATGTCAACAATTTTATTAGCTAGAACAAATAAGGTACCTCAGAAAAGAAAATTGGAAGTGTCTCAAGAAGTAAGTATATTTGTCATACTTGCAAAATGTACTTGTTATATCTATATATTTCTTTTTTACAGGAAATATGAAAATTTCAAAATTTGTAAAGTGAAGAGAAGCACCTCCGTTAGCGATATATCCGCCAAGCACGACCCTGAAAAAAATATAAATTGCGTTAAAATGTTCATTTGTTTTGTATTTTATTTTAAAATGTTCGTTAAAAGTTTATTAAAACTTACAACATGATCTGCTTGTAATTGATGTTAAATAAATAGATAATTTGTGAAAGAAACTCTGTAAATAAAATATTCGTTAAACATATAATTAAATGTTATTCCCAGAAATGTTCCTATCATGAAATTGTTATTACGAATATGCTTACTCTTATTTGCTATATGCACAATAAACAATTTTAGAATTGCATATCATATGCAAAATTGAATCCTGCATATCTCCGTTGAAATCAAACTATTATCAGCTATTGCTTCCAGCTTTTGGTTAAACGGAAAGAGTGCGCTGTTGCATAAAGACATAATGCGCAACGCATAATGTAAAACGTATAACGAATAAATCAGTCTTTCACCTGATGACATAAAACAACATATAAACGTTTACGCATGTGGTAGCCGTAGATGTAAAGTAAGACAAATAAAAACGTGTAACTTTATTCATACTGATAGACTTTCACGTCTTTCTAGGTTGAAAAGACATGGACAAAAGAACATATCACGATAGATTAATTGGAATATGTACACATGATGAAACTGATCCTCTTACTTTTTTATGCCCCTTCCACAATTTTCCACGTATCAAATGTGACCAACGATATAATCGTTAGGAATTTACGACGTAGAGTCTGATCTCTAAACTAAGATAACATGTGTTGTACGACGTGTTTGTCGGACTTTTTAAACTGTAGCGGTTGAATACAATTAATTGATTAGATTAGAGATTAGGCGGCGCGTCGTAAACATTTAATATAACATCGATTGTTATTAGCATCTGTTTAATTTCATGTTCTTCTATAAAGTGAGATAACTGATTATAAGTTTGGTCGGCGTGATTGTATTTGTTTTTATATCATGTTTTATTCATTTTATATATAAAAATGTTAAATTACTAGAACACTACATAAGCGCGTAGCGCGCGCTTAGTGTTCTAGTATAGTAAAAAGAAGTGATACACTTTTTAATAATGGAAATTACTATTACAATAGTAATCTTTTCTATTTGATTATGTACAGAAAGATGAAAATGAATAAATGAAAATAACTCCAATAGCATAAAATGCCTGAGAACATATTGGATACACTTGACGCCTAGAGTAGCTCTAGGCTTCTGGAATATCTTGTGTTATTTGGGATTTAATTAATTTAGAATGGCAAGATACTTTTATGTTATTATCTTTAGTAAAAATATTTTTGATACAAAATATATAATTATAATATTTTTATAAATTGAGTGATATATGAGTGATAGTTTATAATCTTTGCGTACAATTAAATACCTATAATTGCTGGGAAATAATAATTTATATTCCAGCTATATAACATTTCAGCAACATATTGTTACATCCTGCGATTTATCTTTTTGGTGCTAACCCGGTATCGTGAATTTTATTATTTTAGTCGTGGGTTTAGTTAGCTTCGCGAGGACGCGTTTCAACGTGAGCGGTTACGTTGAAACTATTAACAGGCTAAAAGGCCGAATACGATTGTTAGTGGCATCTCAGGGTACGCGACTCTTTATTCTGCTTCCATGGCAAGGTCAGGAATCGATGAAGAATAATCAGAAGATGATTTGGAGTACGAAAATAAAGGGGAATTTATTAATAAGAAAGTGCACGATATTAACGACGCACGGCGATAAGCGCGGGGTAATAATATTATTTGTCGACTCACTTTAGTCGCCAGGTTCCCTCTGTAATGCAGAAGATTTCGAAGCGCTGGCTGCGGCTGGAGAAGAGTGTTGCCCTAGTGTGGTCGAATCTGGTCTAACTATTTTACACTCGCGAGACTTGTATAAGAGGTTTGGAAAATGAGGAGCTTAAAGATCGGAAACGTGGATCTAGTAACGTCGATGAGCAAGTAGCTCGAAAAATAGAGAAGCGAAATGAATGAGGGCGTAGGACTAGTAACGCTTTCGTGAGAAAGTGGTAAAGGCAGGGTTAGGAGTTATCGTGTTGATGATCGGCAAGCCGGAACGTCAGCAGGGCCTCAGCGTGTTCTCCACGGTGTTGCCAGTGGAGAAAAGCGTTTCGGCAGATGATGCCTTGGAGTTTCCCAGCGGAAGAGTTGCCCTGGAGTTCTCAACGACGGCCAGCGAGAAGAAGGAAATGGGAAGTGGAAAATAGAGCCAGAGAGGCCTCTTTTAAGTCCTTCGGATGGTCGATTAGTGGGGTGATTTTGGAAATCGAAGGACCAGTAGTTTTCCTGAGGAATGGATAAGGAGGGCTTGGGAAATCTGGTGCCCAATGGAAGTTTCGAGAAAAGGGGCACGGAGTAGGGTTTAGGAAGTTCATAACCAATGAGGTTCGTGGGGAAAAGGATGAGAAGGAGGAGTAATTCATGGAGAGACTCAGAAAAAATGCGTAATTTAGAGAGATTATCTGATCGGTGCTTTACAAGGTTTATAGGTTTGCAGTACTTATTTAGGATCGGCGTTGGCTAGGTAATTGGTACCTAGTCGGCCGATAGCATCGAGCAGAATATTTAAAAAAAAAAAAAAAAAAAAAAAAAAAAAAAAAAAACCCTAAAAAAA